CATAAAGATAATGTTTGGAAAGTGGCCGCGGATCTCTCAGGTCGGGGCAAGACCCCTCTGGTGCGCGGAGCGCGCCGGGGGCGGCGCACGAGGCGCCACCAGGGGGTCCCAGTGCAGATGCCAGGTGTCCGCGCGGTGTCCGCGCGGAGCGTCGAACATTCACGCTTGTGGAGCTTTGTCCTCCCTCGATCCCTCCCCCCCGACGCTTTCCCGAGGGGCAACGACAAGGAAAGGCTGACTCAGAAAGGGGGGGGAGGGAACAACGACCTGGAATCCACGATGCATCGCCGAGAGATCGGCGACATGGGCCCCCGATGGCGACTCCGAGCGTTCCTGGGCGGGGCGGGGCTGACGGGCCCGCGCCGGCGATGAGTGGGCGACGTGGGTCCATGCATCCCCCCCCCCTGCGCCTACTCCCCCCCTTTACGTTGCCCCTGATTTCGGGGAGCGAGCAATGACATAAACATAAAAACTCGGAGGTCCGCGCGGATTTCTTGGGTACTCGCTGGACCCCCCTTCCCTGGCGCGCGGAGCTTGGGCGTGGCTTAATGGGGGGGTCACAAATGGGGGGGTCAGAAACGGTCCCCTTTCGTGCCCCTTTCGGGCCTCTCTGGAGCCCCGGGGGGCTCGTTTAGGTACCGTTTGGGTACCTTGTCGGACCACCCTCGCCACCCCCCTATTTATGACCCCCCCATTACGCGACGCCCAAGGAGCGCGCCAATGGCGGCGCCGGAGGCGCCGCCAGGGGTCCCCAGCGCCGATCCGAGAAATCCGCGCGGGCCTCCGAGTTCTTATGTTTATGTCATTCTTCGTTTCCCTGCGATTCCCCCCCAACTATACTCGGGGAGACGTAAGACTCGGGTACGGGGGACTCGGGTTGGCCCGACGGGGCCCTCATAAAAATGACGAGGCCCAATCTGAAATTTGACGCGAGCTCCCGCTGCAGACGTCCCACGAAAACTGGACAGCCAAAACCCTTGACGCGCGCGCCAAAAAAGCGTAAGCAAACCCGAGTTCCGGCTTACTCGGGTCTTGCGTTTCCCCGATTACGCCCTTCACGTCCTGGGACACACAAATAAATACACACAAATAAAAGGATTCCCTATATTTTCCTATATTTTCTGGGTTTTTGTTTTCCCCCCCACTTCCCATATTTTCCCATATTTTCCTTGGAATCGACGATTAATTGTGTCTGTGTGTTTCTTTCCCTCGTGATATACGCCCGTCACGTCCTCCCCTCCCCCCAGGCCGAGCGCGAACGCAGGCGCGGCGGGCGCCGGCCGCGCAGCGCGGCGGCCGCAAGGCAGCGCCCCCCGAAGGAGGGGCCCGGCCTGCCCGGCCAGGACCAGCCCGAAGGTCACGGCGCAGTTGATCTGCCCGCCGCTGTAGGCGCCGATGGAGTAGGCGAGCACCTCGCTGGGCGGTGGGCTTAAGTCTGGGCGCCTCCCATATATGGGTTCCGGATGGATGGGCTCGGAGCTTCCCAGATGGGCTCTGGATGAATGGGTTCGGAGGGTCGCGCCGCTTCGGCGACACATCGGCGATGCAGAGGTGATGCATCGGCGACGTCGGCGGTGCATCGGCGACGTCGGCGGGGAGAAAACCGGGCACCCCATCGAGCCGCACGGTCGATCCATCGGCAATGCGGCGTGATCTTCCGACCCCATATGAGGGACCTTGACTCTCCTCGGGCGGGGGGGAGGCCGCAACACGAAGCCAAAAACGGGACAACATCGGAACGGGGCAAATCGGTGACCTCTGAGATCCAACGGTTCTGGAGGAGGTATCAGGCGCCGCGGCCTTTCCATGGCGTTCCCAAACACTCTGATTAAATTCCAAAACGTTCTGGAACGACTTATCCCAGTCCTAGCCCCGCCTGGTGAAAAACCAGGAGGCAGGATTGGTCGGCGGCATCGGCACCAGGGCGGACCCGAATCGTGTCAGCAACTGCAGGATGCACAACAGCGCCACGCAAACATGAGCGGGGACGAGGAGCGAAGGAGACCCAAGGGCATTTCTTCTCTCGGCGGCGGAGCAGGGTTGGCTGCACCAGCGAAAGATCGAGCCAGACGGGCGCGCCGAAAAGCGGATTGGCCGGCGTGCAAAAAGGGAAAATGGGAAGGCATGGCGGCCGCGGACGGGGGGGAAATATCGTGCCGGGCGAAAGGGGGGGGACAGCAAATGGGTGGGGGTGAGAATCAGCTCGCGTATAGCTGATTTTCCCGGCGCCTCTTGGCGCCGGAGGCGGCTATGCATCGAGAAATGGGCGCTCGGCGGGGGGCCGAAACCAGCCGCATGCAGCAGATGTCGTAGCCCCCCCTTTTTCCCAATCCCCCCCTTTCGCTCGTCCCGAACAAGAGGCCACTCAGGGGCGGACGGGCCTGCACTCGAGCACGCCGGCGCGGCCAGCCCCGCCGCCGGGGGCCACGGGCAGCTGCCAGGGCCGCGACGCCGGGGCACCAACGGGCGCAGGCGGGGCTCGCAGCGCGGGTACTGCAAGTGGGCGCAGGAGGCGGTGACGCCGTCGAAATAACGCACGAGGTGCTTGGACAACGGGCTACAGGGCAGCATTTGATACATAGGATGTTCAAAGATCTACTATTTGAATGCATGACCAATCTCTGCATAAATGCATGCATGGACTCATCGTTGTGTTTAACACTCAATCCCTGCATTTTGAATACATGATCCGCACGCGGAGCATGTATGAAAAACGGCACTGTACGGCCGCAGGCCGCCCAGGCGGGTGGTACAGACAAAGCGCGGGAGGTACACGCGCCGTCCTCAGGTGGGACCGTATCCAGCAAAATGCGGGGCCCACGGAGGGGATCAGGCGGCAAGACCAGGCCCAGGTTCCCGACCGCCCGGGGAGGCTGCCAGCGGCGGCAGCCCCGCGGGCACCATGGCGGCGCGCGAAGGAGGGAGGGACAGCGAACGGCGGGGGAAGGCGGGGGAGCGGGCGGGGAGGAGGAGCGCCCCGCCTGCGGTGGGATCCCCGCAGGCGGGGCGGCAACGCCGGCGCCGGCGCCAGCAGCTGGAAGGCAGCTTGCCCGCGCGCGCTGCGGACGCTTGCGCTGCCCCCAAGGTGGGCAACCTCCGGCAAGACTGCTGTGCCGGTCGAGGGCAGAGAAAGGGCGTCCCAATACAAAAACTGTGGCTGAGGCCGCAGGGCCATCGCTGCCAGGGTGGACAATGCAGGCCAAGACTGGGGGCACTTAGTCGGTGCAGAAGAAACGAAACTCAATTGAAGCTGGAACGGCCACTCGTTGCCGTGGTGGACAGCGCGCGGCCACGCCACCAGGCCTGTCAAAACTGTGGCTAAAGGCCCCCGCTGCCCGGGAGGACAGTGTGGACCAACTCACGCGCACCTAATCGGCGCAAGGACTGCTATGTTGAAGCCGCCGAGGCCGCCAGGCCGCACGCGGTCAGTGCGAGCAGCACGCGGCCGAGGCACAAGGGGAGGGGAAACCGAGGCGGGGGCCCCAGAGCGTGGAAAAGTGCCGCACGCTGCAGGATCGGTTGGCGCGTGACAGCTAGGTCCGCCTGGTGGCTCAAACGTCGAGGGAGTCGATGGGAAGGTGGTCCTGGGACACCAGGCGCCTCTCGTGGTCAAGCGCGCCACGGGCTGGGCGTGAGCGGCGCAAAGGGAGACCCGCGTCTGCGGCACGGCGCAGGGCACGGCAGGCTCCTGGCGCCACTGCCTGTGGGAGCGGCTCGCGCTGGTGTGGTCCAGGCGCGGGGTCTCAGAGAAATGGTAGGCCTGTCGTGTCGGGAAGGCGCTGCCTGGATTGGTCGTTGCTGGGCCGGGTGGGGTCCGCGCGCCTAATTATGCCTTTCCCGACCGCGTCGTGACCGTTCCCTTTGCCCTTGCCCTTGTCTCGCCGCAGCTCCTCGCGCCGAAACTGCTTGTCCCAGACAGCATTCCTCGGGATCGGCCAAGAGGGGGGTGTCCAAGAGGGGGGGGGTGCAAATCATGACCGGCGGCACGTGCGCGGCCCAGCGGGGGGGCCAGGGACGTAATGAAACAAGAAGAGGCGCCGCGAAATCTGGGGAGATATCCTGGCCCGCGCCATAATCCCAGACCCCCGACGTCATGATTTTTTCATGACGTCGACCCCCAGAAATCTCGACCCGTTCCCCGGGACCGGTTTTTCATCCCGAGTCGTTTTTTGACGGTCCCGAGGCCCGGTAAGGGCCTCCAGAGGCCGAAAATCGCGAAAAACCTCCCGTCGTGATTTTTTCATGACTCGAGGAGGTCTGGGATATCCCCCCCCCCTAGTCGTCACCCCCCTCTTGGCCGCCCCCGAATTCCACTCCGCGTGGAGGCCTCGGGCTCCGCAGGCCCTGCGGCGGTCGAGCTCTCTCCGTGGTGCATCTGGCGGTGGAAAACGAGCCCACCACCCTTCCCCTGCCCCCCTCCTCCTCCTCCTCCTCCTCCTCCTCCTCCTCCTCCTCCTCCTCCTCCTCCTCCTCCTCCTCCTCCTCCTCCTCCCCTGCCCCCCTCTGCGTGTGGCCGAAGGGGGTGGGCGCCGTCGCCGACCCGAGAGCGCCCGAGAGGCGCCGACCCCGGTCGCAAGAAGCCGCGCCCCGGGGGGGGGCCCCTCGGGGCTTCGCAAAAACGAGGGCTTAGCTAAACTGAAGGGGCCCCAGGACACACAAATGAATACACACAAATAAAAAGATTCCCCATATGTTCCTATAGTTTCTGGGTTTTTGTCTTCCCCCCACTTCCCATATTTTCCCATATTTTCCTGGGAGTCGACGCTTAATTGTGTCTGTGTGCTTTTTCCCCTCCTGATAAACGGGGCTTAGGCTTTTCCATCTACCCCCGTTTGCTGTGCCCCCGTCAACGGCGCCCAGGGCCCCCTCAACGGGGGCATGGGCAAACGTGGAAATCGGCGATCCCCGTGCCCCCGTTTGCTGTACCCCCGTCTCTGGCGCCCTGAGCCCCAGGCGGGCGGGCCGCCCCGGACGGCCCACAGCGCAGCAGCCTGGAGCAAAAGCAGGGGACGTGCGCCCAACAACCGCCCGGCCCCTCCGATGAGGGGCGACGACGATGCCCCATCGGTCGGAAGAGGTGAGCAGAAGCACGAAGCAGGAAGGCGTTGAAAGTAGATTTGGGCTCCGTTCGCCCCCTAAGGAGGACGGGGGAGGTGAAGCCACTCGATCATTGAGGCAGGAAGGCGCTCCAAAGTGGATCGAAATCTGGGGCTCCAGAAAGACCTGGGCCTCTGGGACCCCAAAGATCTGGGAAAAGGTGGCCACAGGAGTGGAGCCTGCGGCCCCAAAAATGCCTACACTTTCAGCGACCGATGGGCGAGGGGGGGGTGCAGGACCTGGGGGGGCACGCACGGACGCTCAGAATCGCCCACTCATCGCCGAGAAGGGGCCCGACAGCCCACCCCTGCCCTGCCCAGGGACACGCTCGTATCCGCTATTCGGGCGCGCCGAACAGCGGATTGGCCAGCGTGCAAAAAGGGAAAATGGGAAGGCACGGCGGCCGCGGATGGGGGGGGAAATATCGGGCCGGGCGAAAGGGGGGGATAGCAAAGGGGGGGGGTTCAGAGTCACCTCACGTCTGGCTGCTTTTCCCGGCGCCTCCCGGCGCCGGGAGGCGCCCATGCATCGAGGAGTGGGCCCGGCGGCGGGGCCGAAACGGGCTGCATGCGGCAGATGTCGTGCCCCTCCTCTCCCGATCCCCCCCCCCCTTCCGTTCGGCCCGAGCTCTCGGGGGGCCTGTCGCCGATCTGCCAGCAGTGCATCACCGACTCCAGGTCGAGGTTTCCCCCCCTGAGCTGGACCTCCCCCCCGGAGGCAACATTGCCCGAGCTCTCGGGGGGCCTGTCGCCGATCTGCCAGCAGTGTGTCACCGAGTCCAGGTCGAGGTTCCCCCCCCCCGAGCGGGACCTCCCCCCCGGGAGGCAACGAGGAGGAGGAGGAGGAGGAGGAGGAGGAGGAGGAGGAGGAGGAGGAGGAGGAGGAGGGGGAGGAGGAGGAGGATTGCCCCTTACCTCCACGCGCCTCGGCTCTCCGCGCCCGCCTCCCGCCCAGAGTGTTGTGCGCCACGCCCGCCTCCCCGAGGGGGCCGGAGTCGAAGGCCCCGGGAGGCAGCAGATCCCAGATGGTCTGGTACCGGAAATTTTCGGTAGCGATTTCGACGCACCCCGAATTTCGGTAGCGACCGGATCTTCGTTTGAGGGCGTTGAAATAGCGGATTTCAGAACGCTCTGATACCGGTATTGGGCGCTACATTTCGGTATTTCGGTAGCGACCGATCTCTGCGGAGCGCTACCGGAAATTTTCGGTAGCGGACCATCAGGGATGTGGACATGCTCGGGCACGGGGGGGGGGCAGAGGTATCCCTACCTCCGCGCCCGCCTCCCGCCCAGAAGGTTGCACATGTCCGCCTCCCCGAAGGGGGCCGGCGTCGAAGGCCCCGGGAGGCAGCAGATGTGGACATGCTCGGGCACGGGGGGGGCAGAGGCATCCCTAGCTCCTGCCGCGTGGGGTCCTCGGACATCGGCTTCCCAAGCCGTGGGTATTGATAAACCCGGCCACGGAAGCATGGCGGGAGAAGTGCGGCCCACCGACAGCCCCCGGCGTTCTTGCTCCTGGTCATCTTCATTGGAAACTCCTCATTGAAAGCTCATGCACGGAATTCTTTACAAAATGCTTTAGAAGCACCTGAAGGCGCCACTGGAAGCCCTTCAAGCCGTGTTGGCAGAGACCCAGGGAGACCCCGTAGGCGCTGAACTCCCTTTGGGTTCCATAGGGTATTAGTGCGGACGGCTGAGACTATCTGCAACACTCTCTGAAAACGTTTGGACTGTGCCCGAAGGCCTCTGAGCATGCCCTGGAAGCACCTCGAACCCTTTGAAGGCCCTTCTCCCTCTGAACGGCTCTGGAGGACCCCGAATACATTCTGGAGTCACCTGGGGGTCATCTGGGAGTGCCCCGGGCCTGCATTCCACACGAGAGAGCCCAGCCGAGTCACGCCGCGAGACAGAGGCATCCGCGCGAAGCGCGCGGGCGCAGCTGCAGTGGGCTTCGATCGGGCCAAGGGCTCGATGGAGCCTTCCCACGGGGTCTCCTCGGGCGCTCCTCGCACAGCTAGGCGTAGCTGGGGGAGGAAGCGGGGGGGGGGGCGGGGGCAAACATGAAATTCGCTCCAAGACTGTGACTGCAAGGCAAAGCGTAATAAACGGCGTGAACGCACCTTAAAACAACCCGAAGTGGGTACGGAAACCTGTCACGATGCCCAACATCACATGTTGCTCAAAGCCGATCGCGGCCGCTGTAGGGCCGGCGACCTCCTGTCTCACGCGGGCAGCGCCCGCGGCGACACCGACAGCGAAGCCCTATCGATCACAATGGGCAACAACGGCGATCGGTCTTCGTCACCATTCTTTCCGTACGGAGGGTTCGTGCCCTGACTCGGGAGCGGCCAAGAGGGGGGTGTCCAAGAGGGGGGGATGCAAATCATGGCCGGCGGCAGGTGCGCGGCCCAGCGGGGGGGCCTGGGACGTAATGAAACAAGAAGAGGCGCCATGAAATCTGGGGAGATATCATGGCCCCCGCCATGATATCCACCCCCCCCTAGTCATCACCCCCCTCTTTTCCGCCCCCGACTGACGACTCGTGCGCTGGCTTTTCTGACACCGCGTGGACGTTTCAGCTTCGAACCGCTCGGGCCCTCCCGACAGCTCCAGGCAGCTCGAGGGCGGCCGGCTCTCCGTGCCCCCGGTGGCGCTCCAGCTGGATAGGGGCCGCGCCGGGGCCCGCCGCCGCGGCGACAAGAAACGACCCTGCCCTGGTCGGGCCCGCGGATCTGGCGCGTGCGCGCCAGATCCACGGACCGGGGAATGTGGAGGGGCCCTGCAGTGTACACGCAAATCAATGGACACAGATAGCAGGACTCCCCATATTTCCCTGTATTTTTTCTGGCGATTTGTCAGCCCCCCCCCATATCCCACATTGTCCTAGAAGTTCGGGGGAATCGACGGTTCATGTGTCTGCGTGTTTTTTCCCCTCCTGGAAATAAGGCCCCCGAAACATGAGGCCCACTGCCACCCGACGCAGCGACGGAGCGCGCCGCTTCTCCACGGCAGCGGGGCCCGTCGCTGTAATCCACGCGCGCGGATCCTGTGGCTCCGTGTTTCCTCGGCGTGCTCACCGCGATCGCACCGAAGCATACAGTCGGACGACTTCATGGGACAGGACACGCGAGAGGACACAAGACCCTTCCAAGGGCCACGTCGCCATTGGAGTGTGAAGAAGGCACGTGTCGCGAGGCACAGGACGCGAAGGTACCCTTGAGCTGGCAGGGTCGAACTACTAATCCGGGCCGACTGTACTCATCTCGATCGCACCGAAGCATACCTCCTCCCCGCGCTGCCGAGTCTGCCGGGACCAATATGCCCGGCTCCGGGGAGGCCCCCGTGTGAGCGAGAGGGAAGCGGGCGCGGCGCCGTGATGGCGAAGCCAAAGGTCAGCGCTACCTCCGGGGGGGCAGGCGTGGCAGGATGAGCAAAAGGATTGGGACAGGAAGGCGACGACGAGGAAGGCAAGACGAGACAAGATCACCTGTGAGCCTGTGATTGGATGTCATGGCGGTGGGAAATCGCTGGACCACGCGAACTCGCAAAGCAGACCACGCCACTCGAACTCACAAAACAGACTGCCCCGTCCGCAGCCGACGAGTGAGAGGAGGATCCCGCCCGTCGACGACGACAACGACGGCGACGACAACGACGGTGACGACAACAACAACAACAACAACAACAACAACAACAACAACAACAACAACAACGACGACAACGACAACGACAACGGCAACGGCAACGGCAACAACGACAACAACAACAACAACAACAACAACAACAACAACAACAACAACAAAACAACAACAACAACAGCAACAACAGCAACAACAACAACAACAAGAACAACGACAACGACAACGACAACGACGACGACGACGACGACGACGACGACCTCGGCGGGCTCTCCGAGCGAGACCGTCCTTGCGCCCAGGCCCGGGCGCGCGGCGCGCGGGCGCGCGGCGCGCGGGCGCGCCAGCCTCGTGGCGCGCTTCGGCAGCAGGCCGTGGCGGCATGCTTCGGGCGTGTGGCCGCCTAAGCCCTCGGGCGGGCGGCAGCGGGACGGTGACGGTGCCCGCACGAGTGCCCACGAGAGGGGACTGAGCGGGGCGGGGCCGGGGCGCCTACAAGCAAGCAGTATACTGCAGTGGAAGAAAGAAGCGGCTAGCAATTTTTTGATCCGCGGGTCGAGAGCGCACCCCTTCCGAAAAAAAAGCGGCTAACAAGCACCCTGTGAATCGACAAAGCCATGCTCGATCTCACTCCACGTTGGTGTTCTGGTCAGGTCCACCCAGGCACCGGCATCGGGTGGCAGCGGGGGGTGACCCAAATCTGGAGGCCTGGAAAGGGGGCACCGGCACCAACACAGGGGGCTGCCCCCAAGGGCCCTAAAGTGTCCCTTTTGGGTGCTTTGTGGAGGTGTAAGGGCCAGCAGGTGCCCTAAAGTGGCCCTGCAGACACCTTTTAGGGCAATTTTTCTTCAGCCCCCCAAATAGGGCCACCTCCCATTACCGCCCGCCCGAAGCCCGCGCAACCCTTGCAACTGGTAGGCTATGCGGGGGCTCATCGCGAGCCCTGGCAGGGCGTCCAAAGGCCTCTAGACTCTTGAAAAATATTGTTGTTTCGCGGTGTCAGCGGGTTTGCAATGTGTCATGGCGTGGGGCTCTCGTGGGGCGAATTGAGGGTGGAGGGAAGGGGAGAACATCCACCCGAACGAACGATCGTCTTCCTAGCTGCTAGCGCGCATCAGCGAAACTGGACAAAGACCGCAAATGACTTGCGCACGGGATGAACTCCAGATACAAGACCACCGGAACCAACCGCGGCAACAAATGTGCGCACGCAAACGCGGTCAAACTGGGGCCACATGTTTCCAGACAACAAAACACACAACATGTTTGACAAACCGCGAACATGACTGGTACATGTCGAAATTGCATCAGGCAAGGGGCTTAGTCATTCGGCTGTCAAACATGTGGAGCGAGCTCCCCGCCCCAACCCGAAGGAAAGACGGGGGGGAGAGGCAACGACAAGGGATGGAGACAGAGAAGGGGGGAGAGAAGAACTGAGAGGGCATGGAGACATGCAGGCGGGAACGCAAAGAAAGAGGGGCGGACAAGGGAAATGTAATAACGGCGAGGCGTGTCCATGGCGGCAGCATCTACACACATATATATATAGAGAGAGAGGGAGAGCGAAGAAGGGAGATATACAGAGAGAAAGAGAGCAAAACACACAATATAACAACACATGACATAGCAACCAGGCAAATTACACATGGGCGCGGCGTGCTGTCTCTCGTTGGCGTTCAAGAGAAGGGGGATCTCGTCCACAATGCGCAACACATGCTGTTGTCCTTTCCTTGCTAGTCATGGGTGGGTGGGGAACTGATAAGACACACGCAACTATGGCCGTGCACCCACGCACGAGTTACAGAACTTCAACACGCGGCTATCCCAAACCAAAAACTGGTGGCTCAAATGAACCTTCTTCCCGTTAGCAACAGCACACAAGGATATGAAAGGTCAGCTCTTCTGGCGACGGAATAAATGTGTCTGAATCGCGGCAGAGGCGGGCACGGGCGCGGCACCCGCTGAAAACGGCAGCGGCAAGAGGACACCACTGGCACAGGCAGTGATGGGGTGAGGCAAGCAGGACAGGAATACATGCCGTTCGAGTTTGGTGATCAAACGCGTCCGTCGTGCCCTCGTCGGTGCCAAACAGCTGGGGGTGCCCTACTGACCGCACCAGTGAAAAAAACTGCCTGCATCGAGCCCAGTGCTGACCGCGCTCAATCGGACTTTCGTTGATCACAGGCTGCATGACTGCTTCCGCTCAGTTGACACAGTCAAGCCAGCTGAAACGGCAATCGAGCGAATGCTCCATGTCCACGTAGTTCTTGACCGCGATCGCCCGCAGGATTTGTGGGAGATCTCGTAGCTGCTGGACAGGCCGACTTGTGTCGTGGCGAACGGAGCAACGGCGGCCGACCCTGCAACGCAATCGCACGAGTCGCCTCGTCACTGCTGGGTGAAGAGGCTGCGCTGGGAAGTCGGGGCCGCGTCGCTGAACTCGACCGCGTCGCGGTCGTAGCTGACTTGGCCGCCCATCGCTCTGAGGATGAGCTTCGGGACCATGCTGCCCTCGGACATGGGTCGGCCCGCGCATCCCGAGTGTCGCGCCAGAGGAGGTCCAGGATCTGCTCGGTGCCAAGGTGGTGAAATAACCGCCGCAGGTGGCCTGCAATGCTGTTCTCGGAAGGCGGCCGCGCCAGGCCCATGAGCAGGGCGCCGATGACGGACGTGCCGTCGATGACGGAATCTCCAGACATCGCGCAACCTCATTCCAGAGCCCTGAGCCGACGCCGTAGATGTGAACGCTGCATCGAGCAACTGTCCGACAGATTTGGTTCTTCCCACAGGCGGGCGCATTGGCGGCGTAGGGTCTGCAAGCTGCGCTGACGCAGTCCGCGCCGGCCCGGGAGGGATCGCTGAGAGCTCCAGCGCGCCACGAAGTTCGTCGTCGTCTTCATCGGCGGCGCTGCCAGGGTCGTAGGTCTTGTTCATGTCCTCATAAATGTACTGGTTGCGCGCCCTCCCCGCCGCCGGTCCTGGCGGATGGGCCGCTGCCCTGACGGGCCCTGGAATGGCGCCTCCTGCCATGGCGAACGGGACAAGCAGGACAGGATGATATGCCGTTCGAGTCGCCAACCCTGGAGGAATGATGGAGGAGGAGGAGGAGGAGGAGGAGGGGGAACCGAGGAGGGAGAAGGCAAGAGAACTCCTCCGTCCCCTTTTTCCTGCTCGCGTTTCGCCTGCATCTCGCTCCCGTGCCCCCCCCCACCCCCCCAACAAAAAGAGCTTCACACAACATCCATGGAAACCGTAAAAACATTCTGGACACATCCGAAGACATCCGCAAACTACTCGCCTGAAAACGTGCGAACCTCCGATTCGGAAGCCGCGCAAGGGCTGCTAAATCCGTGGCTGCTAAAATCGACCTCTGGGGAGTTGTCTTCGTCCTTCCGGGAAGAAGCCCGTTGACTGTTTCGCGTGCCGCGCCTCATTCCGGGAAACTGACTTTTCCTCCCGGGAGGGCCGTTTCAGCAGCCACGGTTTTAACAGCCCTCGCCCAGCTTCCGCCCGATGCCTGATACTCATCCGGGTCCCTGCCCACGTCCACGTGGAACGCACGGCATGGGAAGAAGAAGGAGAAGACGAAAAAGACGAAGAAGACGAAGAAGACGAAGAAGAAGAAGAAGAAGAAGAAGAAAAAGGAGTAGGAGGAGGAGGAGGAGGAGGAGGAGGAGGAGGAGGAGGACGCGGACAAGGAGAAGGATGCGAAAGGAGAGACGAGGACCCCTTGGCCGGCCCCTCCTCATCTGGCGGCCAGCGCCTGCCTGGAGGACCCACGCGGAGCCCTCCTTGTTCGCAATGCCGCACGCGCTGCCGCAGCCCACGATGACGAACCTGGCGGGGGACGTCCAAGGAGGGATGAGGAGAGAGGAGGAGGGAGGCAATTCCTGGGAGGTCTTTGTGAAAATAACAACTCCGTTCGATGGAAAATTCCCGTCAACAGCATCCCCAGACAACACGGACAACCCCTCCAAGATGCATGCCATAAGCAACCCAGCATGTGATTGTGGCTGGTGCTCGAGCGGCAGCACAATACCCACCTAGGGATGTGGCCGGCGCTGAGGCGAGAGCACCATTCCCGATCATGGATGTTGCTGGCACTCGAGTGGCAGCATCACAGGCACCAAATAAAGGATGTGGCCGGCGTTGAGGCGAGAGTACCGTTCCCGATCATGGACGTGGCCAGCGCGCAGTGGTGCGAGGATGTTTCAGGCGGAACTTGACAGACAACCTCGTACGCGGTATCCTTGCCCCAAATCTGGACGAAGTCCCATACGAATAGCCAGACCACCTCAGGTCACAATATATCAGAGCCCAGGGAGTTGCAAGGATGTCTCTTGCAAAAACTGCCTGGACAACCTCGTGCGTGGTATCTCGGAGCCCATGGTGGCGAGGATGTCTCATGCGACGCGGGTGGGGCCACTTCACATCATGGCATGTCGGAGTTGCGAGGATAGCTCAAGCAAACCTGGCTGGACAACCTCGTGCGCGTCATCTCGGAACCCAAAGACGCGAGGAACGTTCCAGGTGAAACTGGCATGACAACCTCGCGCACGGCATCTCCGAATCCTGAAGTGCGAGGGCGTTTCAGGTGGAAACGGGTGGACAATCTCACACGCAGCATCTCGGACCCTAAGGTTGCGAGGATTGTCGATTTTGCCAGACCGCCCTTCGCGCGGCTTCTCTGAACACAGTCCTGCGTAGCGCCGCGTGCGCCGGCGCACGCGCGCCGCCGCCGAGGCAACAACCGCCGCTATCATTGTCCTCGTCATCGTGGAGGCCCGTCTCCTCTTCTTCCCCCTCATCCAACCCGTCCTCGCCTTCCTCTTGCTCCTCTTCCGTCGAGGCCGAGCCGGAGGGGGAGGAGGAGAAACGGGAGGGAGAGAAGAGGAAGAAGGGAAAACGAGGGGGGAGATCGCTGGAGCGATTGTATCAACGTTGGTTGTGGTGTGGCGGTCGCTGACAACCCCCACGTGCGAGTGGGATTTCGCGCGGCGTGGTCGTGGCAACCTGCAGCTGCGGCCCTTAGGCGCGCCATTGCAACTGTTGTGGCGGCGGTCCCCGAACGGGCTCCCATGCGAAACAGCTCGCCTGCGGCGCGCCTCGATGTTCTTCATGGCATCGGTGTCTGGATCCCATTCTGCACGACACGGCCCGCGCGCGGCACAGCATGGTGATCTTTGGAACTGTGGTCTCTGACTTGGTTCCCGCGCGACTTGGTACGGCAAGTTCGTGCGGCGTCGGCACGCGCAGAGGTTTTTGACACCACTTCGATCGCTCGGCCTTGAATCGATCGCGGCCCCGATCGTTCAAAGTTGAATTTCGTCGGGTCCTGTGGCGTTGCCGTGTCCCTCGGTACATCCGCGTTCTGTGGTACGGAGTTCAACCTTGAACGCCTTCGCCGGCGTCGCCAGCGCGCCATCGCCGCGCGAACCTACCGTACGCACCTGGCGCACCATGAAAAATTGACCGCGGCGCGGTCGTCGACGCTTCTTCCGCGCGAAAAGGAGGAATGTCAGTAGGAGGACGACGAGGAGGACGAAGGGGAGGGAGGAGTTGAGGCTGGACGGCCCCTGGATAAACCCCTGGACAACCCCTCGAATAATACCCTGGCCAAACCCCATCCCGTTTTCCTGGTTACGGTTTGGCCCCCCTGTTTGGTTCGCGCTTCTGCTTCCCATCCACGCGCCCTTTACCAATGTAAGGTCCCCGTCAGCGTTTGTATTCCTCGCGGGTAGTCCGTGCTCGTCAAATTTGTCCATCGCTTCGGCCGCGAGCGGTTCCACTGACTTCGCGCGCAAGTGCCCCGCCGCAAGCGACATTTGAAAGCAACGCGTCTTTTGCAACCCAACACGAACGCTGGACGCGACATGCCCCAGCGGGCGAATGGTGCCAAAAGGTATTGACGGAGCAGCGACAGCGTTGCATTGCGACCCCTTTTGTCCCAATATCCGCCAGAATCCAATGAAATGTATGTGTATATGTATGAGTATATAGCGATATATCACTTATGTACATATAGATAATATCATATATATACGATATTCTATATATATATATATATATATATATATAAATATATATATATACGCACCTCTCCGAGGGAGTAGAGCTCAGAGGCGATTAATGCGCACGTGTCCGCGATTTGTCTGGGCGTTTCGCTCGGGACATCCTCGAAATTCTGAAAATCGGTGGCACCCCTCACGCAGATCGCGACGTCAGGGTCCAAAAACACATGGGAAATTCACAATGTTAACATAAAACCTTCAAAAACATATGGTAATTTCAATAATTGTGACCCCGATTCTCAGTGAATGGCGGTTTCGCTTGAAAAATCCTTCCAAAATCGAGCCCCAGACCCCGCCTCGGAGCCTCCTGGGGGCCTCCTGGAACCTCCTGGGGCCTCCTGGGCCTTCTGAACCTTCTGGCACCCCAGACCCCGCCTCGGAGCCTCCTGGGGGTGTCCTGAAACCTCCTGGGGCCTCCTGGGGCCTCCTGCGGCCTCCTGGAGCCTCTTGGGGCCTCCTGAAGCCTCCTGGGGTCTCCTGGGGCCTCCTGAGGCCGCCTGGGGCCTCCTGGGGCCTCCTGGGGCTTCAGAACTACATGCACACAGAGACACAAATCACGCCCAACACATCACACGCTAGACAAACATAACACACACACAACACCTACAACACACAAAAAGCACGCACCACACGAAGCATACATCACAAACACACACACACACACACGCACAACACTCACAATCCTGGGGCCGCCTGGAGCCTCTTCTGGTATCCAAGTCGGGCCTCCTAAGGCTTCCTGGGGGCCCTGGTACACATCGCAAGGTGTGGCAACCCCACTTGCGCTCGAGTGCGACTTCGATGTTGCATTTCACTCTTGCTTCAAACGCCCCTTCAGTTTGTTGTATGAGCCTGGGCACACACGTGCCACTTGTATATATCGAGCCTCTCCAACAATAATCCTCACCAGAGGTGCGCACGGGTGCAACAAAGCAACGCCGCAATCAAATGTTCAACTCGGAGCCAGTTCCGGTTGCCTAGAAGAGGGTGTAACACTGAAGGCTGGCGCCAGCTTAAACGTGTATGCCACGACGCATTCCATTGCGGGCTGTGGCACAGACGAACTCTTGACGGCACGATTGGAACTGCTTAACAGACCTCTGGCCGACAACACTGTCTGGGGACATGCTGTACACTCGCACGGCACCGAGCGATGACCGAGCATCATAGTTTGGGAAATAAGCAAATGGGTCAACGAAATGTCTTGCGTCCCGACGAGAAGGGAAGGAGGCGGAGGACTGGAGGGAGCGAGGCCGAGGAGGAGGGGCGAAATGAACAGCAATACCCATCCACACCAGACCATGTGTGAACTAATGGCGACCAACTCGCTCACGCGTGCAACCCCTAGGACTACCTGCAGCGGCCAAGCCGCGATTTGACCGCTGGCCTGGTGCGAGCCCGAGCACACAATGCCACGCTCCACTTCACGTGGGTATGCGGCCTGTCGGCCTGGGGCAGGCGATGCCGCGTGCACGAAACTTCTCGGCAAGCGTAGTAGACGCGAATGGCCCCCTCGAGGAGTCTGCATTGGGGCACAACGTGGGCAAGGCAACGTGTGCCAGCGCTTGGAATGAGCAGCCCTGGCAGCCCCACTGCCGAAACTGGCCGGACCACCTCGCGCGAGGCATCCCGGAACATACAGTTGTGAGGAATGTCTCAAACGACACTGGCCAGACCATATCGCGCGCGGCGTCGCTGATCCCATAGTTGCGAGGATCGCAGGCGGAACAGGCTGGACCACCTCTCGCGCGAGGCATCTTGGAACCCAGAGTTGCGAGGATGTCTCATACGAAACTGGTTGGACCACCTCTCGCGCGGCATCTCCGAGCCCAGAAATGCGAAAATGTCTCTGGCGACATGGGCCAGACCACCTCGCGAGAGGCAATGCGGAGGCAGAAATTGCGAGGATGAGATGAGGGCCTCTCGGTGCGTAGAGTTGCGAGGATAACTCAGACGACATCTCCGAGCCTAGAAACAAGAGGACGTCCTGGGCGAAACTGGCTGGATCACCTTGTGCGCGGCATGTCGCAGACGATCCTGGCTGGACCACCTTCATATCGGAGCCCAGAAATGGATCCCAGAAGTGCGAGGACGCCTCAGGCGACACTGTGCGCCCACGCTGCACCTCCGAGCCCAGACATGCGAGGGCGCCCTAAGCAAAACTGGCCGGACAATCTCTCGCGCAGCATCTGACGACGTCTCAGAAGGAACGACCCAGACCGTGTCAAGTCAGGGCATCTTTGAGCCCAGGGTTGCGAAGCTGCCTCAGGCGAACCTGGCCGAAAAATGTCGTGCGGCGTCTCTGAACCCAAACTTAAGATAATGACTCTGGCGAAACTGGATGGGCCACCTCGCGCACTGCACACCTGAGCCCAGAGATGCGGGGACGCCGGCATCTCCGCGCCCAGAATTGCAAAGATGTGTCAAGCCAAACTGGCCAGACCATCTCAATTCAAATTATCTCCGAACCCAGAAATGCGAGGACGTCTCTGGCTAAACTGGCCGGACCACCCCCGATGTTGGCGGATGTCTCTGAGCGCTGGCCTCTTGGCCAGAACTAGCCTCTACTACCGCAACATGACCCCATTCTCCACAGCTGATTGGGAAGCGCGGTAAAAAACGGCGTGCGAACGGGAGCGGAAGGGGGGCCATGAGAAACGAGGAACGGACAGGAGGGGAAAAGGGAAAGAGAGGTGACATTTTCAACTGGGCTTCCCTACTTGTGTCATGCTTTTGATGGCATGTATGATGATAAGATGTGCAAATTCTGACAAAATAACGCAAACCGGACAATCCCTTGGACAACCCCGCAAGGATCCAGACAACTCCCCATCGGACGACCCCCCCTTAGACAAGCCTCTCCAGGAATCGTTTACAAAAGATATGGTCAGGGGTGTTATGCTCGACTTGTAAGCACTTGTGCTTGGATCAACCCGGACTAAGACCGATATGAAACCACATCACGAAACGTTAAACGAAATTGAGCGGGCTCGTGTCGGATCAGGTCGGTTTTCGACCATGGAAATACCAGCACAGATGCTGAATTGAACCTCCCAAGAGTTGCATCCTAAGAGGAGATAGGGAGGAGGCAGGAGGGAGACGGGAAGGGCCTCCTCCTCCTCCTCTTCCTACACATCCTTCCCCCCCTGCCCCTTCTCACCCCTCCTCTTTGTGCCGCTATACCTCCTCATCCTCCTCCTCCTAGTCCTATACCTCCTCCTCCTCCTCCTCCCCCTCCTCCTCCTCCTCCTCCTCCTCTACTGCCCCTCTCCCTTCCTCTGCACCCCGAGGAAACGAAGACATGTTCAAGCTACCGTGAAGGAGAGCTGCGCCAGACGCCCCCAGGAGGCGCGCAGGAGGCGGTGACGGTGGCAAGCTTGGCAACACACGGGGAGGTTGTGGGCCTTCCCTCCCGACCCGAGTGCTCCTGTTGAGCAGGGACCGACCGTCCCGGCATTCCTATAGTCCTACCACGGCATGTTCTTAAAACCCAACAATGTTGTAATAACAAAAGCATTGCTCTTAGAACATAAGCCCGATGTGATAAAACAAAACAGACTCCGCCAGAAATGTTCTAAGAACATTCCGTGGAAACCACAAAAGGTTCTTAGAACATCGTTTGGTGGGGCTACAGGCGAGCCAGGACGCTTCGCCGCTGCTTGATCCCTGGCGACTTCCTGTGGCGGGTGGGTTGCGGTGGGGAGGAGGTCGACGGATTGGGCTCCCCCGAGGGCCCAGTGCTGGTCCGACTCGACACCACTCCCCTGAATGGGGCCCTGGGACACACAAACAGCAGGGTTCCCCATATATTTTTCCCGATCTTCTGGGCTTTTGTCTTCCCCCCCACTTCCCATAGTTCCCATTCTTTTCGGGGGAATCGACGATGAATTGTGTCTGTGTGTTTTGTTCCCCTCCTGATCATGGGCGCCCGAACTATCCGGGGTAACTCGGGTCCGGGGTAAGTCGGGTTTGGATTCCCGAAAAAGGAACCCGAGTTAGCCCTGACCCGAGTTACCCCTGATGATTCGGGGCTCTGATGATCCCCCCATCCATCGGGCATCGGCCGCTCCAGCGGCAGGTCGCACACGGCGCCTGCGCTTGCTGCCTCGGCGAGGCTCCAACTCTCCCTGCCGGCCGGCACCGCAGGTGCCACGAGAAGGGGGTGGCCGAGCGGGCGAACGTCAACAAGAGGGGGTGTGGGGAGGGCATTGCCCTCCCCTTCCCCTCTTGATTGAATTGAATTGATGAAGGGGGAGGCATTTCCCCTCTTGATTGTCTTCCCCTTGGGAAGGGGAGGGCATTTCACGCTCGCCCCCCCTTGATTGAATCAGGGGGGGGGCGAGCGCTGAAAGAGAGTTGCCCTGAGAGGGGACGGCAGTCTGCCATCGCGATCCCAACAGGTGTTGGAAAGGAGCGCCGCTCCTAGAGGCCGCCCAAGTGGTGTCCGAGTAGATGGGGTCGGAAACTCGTCGATGCATCGGCGACGTCGTGGACGTATCGACGAAGTCGGCGAGGAGAAAATCGAGCTCCACATCGAACCGTATCGCCGATGCATCGGTGATGCGGCGCGATCCTCCGTTCCTTTCTGCTCCGATCCCATCCAAGAGCCGGAGACTCACTGACCCGATTCAATGCAAACCCGGATCAGTCAGGATTTGCAGGATCCTGCAAGTTTCAGCAGGATCCCACAGGATCCTGCACCCAAGCCCAGGTCACTGCGACTCTGGCCCTGCAGGATCCTGCCAGGTCCGCTGCTCTAGCGGACCCCCGTTTGCATTGACCCCCGTCTCTTCAGCCCCGAAAGAGGCCCAGAGCTCTGAGCATCTCTTCACCGATCCCCATCCCCACCAGCGTGGGCCAGGCCCCACTGGCCGATTTACCCCCCTGGATGGGGATATACGCTGCTCTCTTCGGGCTTCGAGGGGCACATCCCCAACTGAGGTGGCGAGACGGCGGGGCTCGAGATGTGGATGGGGGTGTGGACATAGGGACCGGTCATAAACGATACCGAAATTCCTCACCCGGTGCAGCGCGCCCGAGCCAGGGGGCCCGCGCCAGCCTGGGCGCGGCGCGCGCAGGCCGTGACGGCCGCCCTGCGCTGGGCCACGACACCGCCGCGCGGGTCGGTCCACCTCGAGCGACTGCAGCCTGCCCGGCAGCGAGGACGAGCCAAGGCTGCATTGCGGACGTTGGCTTGTCCGGCGCTTCGGCAGTGAGCGAAGAAGGCCGGGGCGGGGGAGGGGGGGTCTGGATCCGGACCCCTGCTTGGCGCGACTGTTTCCAACAGTGCGCCGCACGGGGGAGAGACCCCGCCTGCTTGAAACAGGCGCCAAAAGGCAGCCAAGATCCACTCCAGGGGGGGGGGGGGAAGGGCGGGGGGTGCGCGGGCCCGCGCCGATCGGCAGAACAATGAGCAAGAACACGACCACGCTTGCTCTGTCTGAGGCATCTCGTCCTCAGGGCCCCATCCCTCAGGTTACCAGCCTGGAACAGATCCCTGTCCCTAGGCTGGGCATCTCCTCATCACGATGCCGATCCTAGGGGGTCCCTCATTTTTTGAGGGCGCATCTCTGAGATTGCCATCGACTTTTGGCGTGTCAACCTTAGGGAGAGGGATACGTTCGAGGCTGGCAGTCAGGACCGCAGGACGGCCTGCGAACCACCGAGCTCCACGTCGGCCGACCCGGGGCCACCGGTGGCGCTCGACCCTGCACGCCCGCAGCCGGAGCCGCCGCCGCGACGGCACGCAGCGGGCCTGCCGTGGAGGCCTCCTCCCTCCTCCCTCCTCCCTCCTCCCTCCTCCCTCCTCCCCCTCCCCCTCCCCCTCCCCTCCTCCCCTCCTCCTCCTCCTCCTCCTCCTCCTCCTCCTCCTCCTCCTCCTCCTCCTCCTCCTCCTCCCCGATGCGACACGCATGGCTGGTGCAGTCAGAAACCCTGACAAGGACGCGCGGTAGGGACGCAAGACCCTTGGAAGCCGCCGAAGTTGGGCTTTCTGGGGCGGCGGACGACGAAAACCCCAAGGACGCAAGGGCAAGGAAGAGCAAGGACGCAAGGGTACCCTGAGCAAAGTCGCGCGCCCTTATTAGGTGTCTGACTGTAGCACGCAGGGCGGCGGGGTTCTGCTTGGGTGCCCGTGTGAGGGTCAACGATCGGGGGATACATCGACCTGGAATCGGCGATGCATCGCCGATAGATCGGCGACAGGCCCCCGATACTCAGCGAATCCGCACCTTCCTGGGCGGGGTGGGGCTATCGGGCCCCTATCGGTGATGAGTGGACGATTGGGGCTCGATGCATCCCCCCCCTGTGCCTATCCCCTCCTATCGTTGCCCCTGACCGTAGGGCCCTGGTGCGCCCGCAGTGCGGGCAGCATGAGCTGCGACAGCGCAGATCTCGGGTGCGCCGAAGACTGGCCCCGAAGAGGGGGAGCACCACTGCCCGAGGTGCGTGCGCGGACGAGGGGGGGCCCTCGGGACGTGTTGATAAAGAGAAGAGGGGGGCCGCCACATCCAGAAGAGGGGCCTGGCCAGGAAATCAGCACGCCCCTGGCCCCCTCTCCTCTGGAAGCTTCCCGAAAATCGCAACTCCTGAGGGCCCGCTAGTAGCGCCTCCAACAAAACCTCGGCGGCGAGCGAGGGGAGGAAGTGGGAAGGAGAAGGCCTTCTCAGAAGGCGGCGGGTCTTCTCAGAAGCCATCGCGCCTTCTGAGAAGTTTGCTGTCTGCGAGGAAGACTCAAACAACTTCTCAGACGGCCGGGGGACTTCCGAGCCTTCTCCACCCCTTCTCACTTCCCCCCTGCGCGCCCCGACAATTAACAGCACCTCCTTTGCGGCCGGTGCCGCCTCCGCGGGGCCCCCTGGGCAACGTGGGCGGGGCGGAGCGGGGCGGAGCGGGGCACAAAGTCATGGCGACGAACTCCGCGAAGCTCTGGTGGAGAGCCGGTACGGCCTCGTCCGTCGCCTCGGGGCCGTCGGCCGGAGGACGCCGACGCCGACACCGATGCCGACGCCGCGTACGGCGCCGCCCCCTCCAACGCCGTCGCCGTCGCCGTCGCCGACGCCGACGCCGACGCCGACGCCGAAGCCGTCGCCGACGCCGACGCCGACGACGACGACGACGATGACGATGACGGACGACGACGACAGCGAGGGCGGCAGCGGCGGCGGCGGCGGCGGCGACGCGCGCGATGGACGTTGCTTCTCGGCCCAGAGGGACATTGCCGGAGGAGGAGGAGGAGGAAGAGGAGGAGGAGGAGGAGGAGGAGGAGGAGGAGGAGGAGGAGGGAGGAGGGAGGAGGGAGGAGGGAGGAGGGAGGAGGAGGGGGGGTCCAGGGGGGGAGTGTGATGGCGGGGTGGCGCCGCGGCCCCGACGTGGCGGAGGACGAAACGCGGAGGCCCCGAAGAGGGCCCCAGGACGGCCCAAGAGGGCCGTCAGTCTGCCCAAGAGCCGCCCGAGACGCGCCAGGAGGCCCCAAGACGGCCCCACGAGAAAAATCGAGCGTTCCGCCCCAAGAAGCCTCCGGGAGGCCCCTTCGGGCCCCCAAACAGCCCCCATGAGGCCCCGAGAGGCCTCCAAGAGGCCCGACCGAAACCCGTAAGAGACCCCAAAACAGCTCCCAAGAAGCCTCAAAGTTGCCTCCAGGAAGCCCCCGAAAGGCCTCGCGCGAGGTCCCGCTTGACGCATACAAGCTGCATGCTTCAAACTGCCTCGAGTGGTACAGGGTCGGAAGCACTCGAGGCACACAGAAGACACGCCTCAAGCGGTCCTAGGATTATACACTTGCGGTATACAAACGACATGTATCCAGCGGTATATGAGTGGCACCACTAGAAGCACACAGACGCCAGGCCTCAAGTGATACTTGGTCGGTTACCACTTCGGGCGCACAGACGACAGGCCTCAAACAGTACTTGTTCCGTACAAATTGAGGCATACAAATGGTATACCTCAAGCGTGACATGACTGATACCCATTGACGCATACTGACGACATGCCTCTAATGGCAAGTGGTACGTTCGCTTGAAGCATACAGATGGCATGCCGCAAGTGGTCTCGAATGGAACATGGCTGGTATTGCTTGAGGCACCCAGTCGCCATGCCTCAATCATCTCTCCTGAAGAATCTTTAAGGGGCCTGGACCCATCGTTCTCAAATATTATTAACTGGTTTGACGCGACTTCTCCCGTGACTTGTTCTTGCCCAACAGGGCCCGAACCCACAACCCAAGCACGATGGCGGGATGGGCCGACGACCACTAGATAATTCCGCCACGACAACGACACAGGCGACGATTACGATAACTACTACGAAGAGAAGTACGGGAGGGCCAGGAGGAGGAGCATCAGAAGGAAGGACGATGAGGGGAAGAGGAGGGGGAGGAAGAGGGAGCACGAGGACGAGGGGGAGGACGAGGACGAGGGGGACGAAGATGAGGAGGAAGGGGAAGACGACGAGGAGCAGGAAGAGGAGGGGCGAGTTCGTTCGCCGCCGCGAGAAACAGGTGGGGGTGCTAAACTAAAGGAGTCCCAATTAGCGGCCTGCACACTTGGGTTTGGCCCCCCGAGAACCGCGCAAGAAAGGTCCTCAAAGGTCATTCCGGCAAAGGGCCCCGCCAGCACCCCTATGAGGGGACCTTCCCCTCAGACTTCCCCGTGTGCTTGCCCTTCCCCGAGGCCCTACTTTGGGCCCGCCCAAACTTGTCAGACAACTTCTGAACCAGATCCATGACCTCGAGGGGGAGGGGGGAAGCAGATATCAGTGGCACACGCCTCGCCTTCTCGAGCTATGCGCGACGCTCATCCACGCTGCGAGCAGAGACCTGGTCCTTCCTCAACAATGATGCGCTGATGGGGTCGTCCAATCTTGGAGGCGGCCAGGGGGTCTGAACTGAAAGGGGCCCTTGCAAATCGACCAAGAGGGGGGAGGCCAAATCCGCTCAACACTGGGTCCTGGACCCCTCTGGGGCTCCACCTGGTGCAGTTGTTCCCCCCCTATCCGTTGATAAGATCCTGGTGCCCAGAAGCGGCCCCGCAGTCGTAGAGAACGGAGGCGAGCAGCTGCTCGCTCCCCGAAGCCATGGCCCCTCGCCCCCCCTCCTGCTGGTCGGCACGAATGCTGGGCCGCCGCAGACCCCCAGCCAGCTTCAAGTCCGACCGGCTCTGCGGTTTGAGTGGCGAAAGAGAGCGGGCCTTACGCAAGACAGCACAGCGACCTTACGCCGCGGCTTGAGCGGGCCGCCAAGGCGGCACCCCACATTGGAAACGAGAGCGCGTACGCGCGACCTCGCGCGGGAGCTTACGCGCCGATGTCGGCGAATACGACTCCGTGTTTCTGCGTCACTCATTCGGTACTGGTCGTGCCCTCCGTCACGGCCGTCGCCGTCGGCGTCCGTCCGTCGCCGTCGGCGTCCGTGGCCGTGGGCCTGCACCGCCGCAGCCGACGTGCACCGCGCGCTGTTGCCGCCGCCGCCGTCGCCGTTGCCGTCACCGTCGTCGTCGTCGTCTGTGTCCGTCGCCGCCGCTGCCGCTTGCGCGCCCTCTCGCGCGCGCGCGGGCGCGCACGCCAACGGGGGGAGGTGGGAGGCGGGATGAGGAGGAACGGGAAAAATGAAGAGGGTGACGAGGAGAGAGGAGAGAGGAGAGAGGAAGAGGAGGAGGAAGAGGAGCAGCGATAAGGAAGAGGAGGAGCAGAAGAGGAGGAGGAGCAGGACGAGGAGGAAGAGCAGGACGAGGAGGAGAGACGAGGAGAGAAGATGATATCCACCACACTGACTCCAGGCACGCTTGAGGCGGGTAGAATGCCACGTGGTGTCTTGCAGTGATGCATGTTCGCATGCCCCTCCTGCAATCTCACCGCACCCAACCTGGCCATCGCTCGGACGTCCATTCCCTGTGTTTTTTTGTTGTTGGTTTCGCGCGTGTTTTTTTTTCACCAAATGAGCAGGGATGCTCCTCAATGGCCCTCGCCGAAAGGAAAAATACACAAGTCCGAGCGCTGCCAAGCAAAACTGTCTGCATCCCCCCCAGCGCCTCCCGAGGCATCCCCTGGGCGGTCTGACGCCCCCCCTGGGGATCTCGAAGCTGGCCGTCCAGGGCCCAAGAAGCCGAGGAGCGCCACCAAGATAGACGACGACAGGACAGTTTTTAACACATGCGACGTTTAAAACTATCTGATTTTTATACATGTGTAATGTATGAATAAATGTATGCATGAACTCATTATTGTTTTTTATACTGAAATCCCTGCACTTTTCAATACATGATCCGCACGCGGAGCGTGTATAAAAAAAACGGCACTGTACTCCCTCAAAAGGCACCACGCCGCCCGCAAGACGACCCCAACTGGCGCCGAAGAGGCCCCAAAGAGGCTTCCAATAGACCAAGAGAAGGCCAAGAGGCGTCCCAGGCAGGCCAGCATCAGTGAAAACCTTAGGAATACATTCGGTGTGTGATCATGTTGCTCTTCCCTGGCCTCTGGGCTCAAGGCGGCTCCAAGAAGACCTAAGCCAGCTCAAAGAAGTCAAACCAGCCCAATGACAACCCAAAGATCCCCCCAATAAGGCCCCGGAAAGCCTCGGTAGGGCCCTACAGGAGCCAGCAGGGCCCCGAGATGGTCCAAGGGAGCTTCAAGAAACCTCGAAGACAGTTCCAAGCAACTCCCTGGACTGCCATGGTGCACCAAGACGGCCCAGTATGGCCCCAAGACAGCCGCAAGATAATCCCAAGACGGAACCGCCGAAGCCCAATCCAGCCCGAAGACGGCCCGGGTAGGCCACATGGTAATGCCTCAAGGAATAGAGACCACAGTTGTAACATTCTACGACGGTCTGGGCGTTGCTCGAAACGTCGCCATACAGAAATTGATTTAGCGATGCTCGAGGAAGTCACATTACTGATTTCTGGAAGACTCGGGGTCAAACATGTTACGTGCTACATCCGTCAAATCTCTCGTGATCCTTATCATATTATTCCTCCATCTCGGCTCATCGTCACCCCACCTCCATACATCCTCAGAACAGCCAGAAGACAACCTCTAAACGACCGAGGAATCGCCTGAGACAACCCTCTGGGCGCTCATCGAAGTGTCGCCACATCTGGGATGGGGCAGGAGGAAGAAGCATACACGGCGAGGTGGGACAGGAGGAGCGTGCGGATAAGGGAGTGTTAGGATAGAGGAGAGAGAACTATGCACATACACCGGTTCTGGCCAGGCCCATCCTGAACCCAGGATCGTTGCATGCGCCCTCCTGCCTTGGGCAGGAACGCGTATTCACCGATCCTGGGCCCAGGATGGGCCTGGCCAGGATCGGTGCATGCGCATAGTTCTCCGCCCGATTCGGACTCGACGACATCGACGCCGAGGATATACACACCGACGCGACGCGGAAGAGCGTGTCGCATGTTGCGGATCTCCCGAGCCTGGGAGCGTGATGCGTCACACGTTGCAGCCTCCTGTCAGCCTCGAAGAAACACTCGCCTCCCAGTGCTGAGCTGACATGGTGGCGGGACCTGCCGCAGGCAGCTGGGTTGGAAGATGAGATAATAGAGGAGCTGCGCAAACATATATTTCAGGAGCTCCGAGCGGATTTCTTGGATCGGGGCTGGACCACCTTCCTGGCGGGCGGAGCGCGACAGGAGCGGCGCCGGAGGCGCCGCCAGGGGAGCTCTGAGCAATGATGTTTATACCATTTTCCTGTTCGGGATGAAAAGAGAGGAAGAAGCAAAAAGGAGAGACAGGAGACGAGGACAAGCCAGGTGCGCTCGCGCCACATCTGGCATTCTGCCCCTCCCTCCCTCCCGTCCCTCCCCAAGGCGCAAATCTTTTCTCTATCCGCGGACGCGTGACGTGGCGGGCCTGGAAGTCCCCGAAAGTTCCCCTCGTGCTGTGCGCCAGCGAAAGGAGGGGAGCTGCAGGGGGTGGTCTCCTCCCACCGCGGCCGCTATCCGTGACGGTCGTCCACTGCACGGCAGGCATGGCTTATCCTCGACACCACAGGGGGTGCGTAACGGGGGTGCGCAAGAGCTCGCGAGACCGGAGCGGGCGAGGACGGGGCGCGGGGGGGCCGTCGCCGCGGCAGTGGCGTTGCCGCTCTGCGGGCCGTCCGTGGCCGGCGCTGCGGGGTTGCCGCCCTGGCGCGGCGCGCGACTGAGGCCGCCGCACGGCTGGAGGGAGAGCAGACGGAGGCCGTGTGAGTGCGGCAGATTCGTGCCGTGACGACCCCGGAGTTGTAGGAGGGCGAGGAGGAGGAGTTGTAGGAGGAGGAGGAGGAGGAGGAAGAGGAGGAGTTTCTGAAACCGCGTGGATCGTTCAACCTTGCACGGTCGGCGGCTTCTCGATCGCCACGCGTTCCATGTTGGCCGACTCTGGGCCACCGGGGCTCAACACGGAACGCCCGCGGTGGGGTCGCCGCCGCGCCGGCACGACATGGACCTGCCGTGCTGCAACAAAGAGGGTCACGCACGGAACGGGTGCAGGAGGGCGAGCAAGCAGGAGGAGCAAAGGGCCTGCTCCGGACGCAAGGCTGGCTCCGAGGAAGGGGTCCAGACCTCCGCCGTCGGAACCTCCATCTGACGACGTCTACTTGGCCGGAGAAATATCTATCTATGAATATATATATATATACATATATATATAAGTATATATATATGTGTGAATATATATATATATATATATATATATATATATATATATATATATATATATATATAGATATATATATATATATATATATATAGAGATATGTGTGTACATATATGCATGTTTGCCCCGTCTCGCCCGCCGTAGGCCCCGCGAGGTGGGCGACACGGGAGAGCGGCGGCGGCACGGGGCACTCCGGCGCCGTCCGCGCTCAAGGGCTCCGGAGCCGATCCCAGAAAAATCCAGGCGGCCCTCCAACCATTCATGCTGATGTCAATGTGTCGTCGGGGCGGAGCAGGCGCAGCCGACGCCGCCGCGCAACTAGAGGCAGAGGAAGGGAGCCGATCCAAGAAATCAGGGCGGCCCTCCAAAAATTCATGTTTATGTCAATGTGTCGTCGGGGCGGAGCAGGCGCAGCCGACGCCGCCGCGCAGCTAGAGGCAGAGGAAGCACAGAGGAGGACAAGTCGGCATTCGGCAAGTTCGTGCCGTGACAACCCTGGCGTTGGTGCCACGGCGTGGGTCGCTCCCGCTTGAAGGATCGGCACAACCTTGTATCGCCAGGTCGCTCTCTGTCATCGGCTCTGGGCCACACCTGCTGCGTGCCACCTCGAACGCGCACGGCGGGGCCGCTGCTGCGTCGACACGACGTGCACCTGCTATAGACATGAGCTGTTGGAGGCCCGCGTGGATTTCTCGATTCGGCGCTGGGGCCCCCTGACGACGCCTCTGGCGACGCCTCCGGCGCCGCCCCCTGGGGCCCGGTGCCGATCAAAGGAATCGGCGAGACTCTGTGAAAGCAAAATGTCTATGCCAGTTGTTCGCCCCCTGCAGACAGAAAGCACAAACGTCCACACGACGGCACCAACACCGAGAACCTGCTGGACTGGTGGCGAAGCCGAGGCCGAAGCAGCGACTGACAGAGAGCAGACTAGAGAAGGACGCAGCGACGCAGCAATCAGCCTGAACGAGTCAGCCGAAAGCAACCGGCCGCGAAGCAGCCGGGCAGGCCGAGCCGCGGACAAGCACTTGGAACAAAAAATGAGAAAGAGAGAGAGAGAGAGAGAAAGAGCGATAACGGGATGGAGACAGAGGTAGGGTTCGCGGCAGACGCTGTCGATCGGACAGGTAGGCGAGGCGGGGTCTTTTAGCCCTCCTCGCAGCAAGCAGCAGTGGCGAGGATGGTCGTAGTAGTAGTAGTAGTAGTCGTCGGCGTCGTCGTCGTCGTCGTCGTCGTCGTCGTCGTCGTCGTCGTCGTCGTCGTCGTCGTCGTCGTAGTAGTAGTAGTAGTAGTAGTAGTAGTAGTAGTAGTAGTAGTAGTAGTAGTAGTAGTAGTAGTAGTAGTAGTAGTAGTAGTAGTAGTAGTAGTAGTAGTAGTAGTAGTAGTAGTAGTAGTAGTAGTAGTAGTAGTAGTAGTAGTAGTAGTAGTAGTAGTAGTAGTAGTAGTAGTAGTAGTAGTAGTAGTAGTAGTAGTAGTAGTAGTAGTAGTAGTAGTAGTAGTAGTAGTAGTAGTAGTAGTAGTAGTAGTAGTAGTAGTAGTAGTAGTAGTAGTAGTAGTACTAGTAGTCGTGGTAGTAGTAGTAATAGTAGTAGTAGCAGCAGTAGCAGTAGTAGTAGAAGTCGTAGTAGTGGTAGAAGTAGTACTAGTACTAGTACTAGTAGTAGTAGTAGTAGTAGTAGTAGTAGTAGTCGTACTAGTAGTAGTAGTAGTAGTAGTAGTAGTAGTAGTAGTGGTAGTAGTCGCAGTAGTAGTAGTAGTAGTAGGAGTAGAAGTTTTAGTGGAAGAAGTAGTATTTGTAAAAGTAATAGTAGTCGTAGTAGTAGTAGCAGTAGCAGTAGTAGTAGTAGTAGTAGTAGTAGTAGTAGTAGTAGTATTAGCCGAACAAGTAGTAGAAATAGAAAGTGGGACCCGTGGCAGTCGCAATAACAATTCTCATCATCGTACTCATAGTCGTAGTCGTAGTCGCCTCGTAGTAGTGAGGGTAAGAGCAGTAGTGGTAGAAGTAGTAGTAGCAGTCGTAGTAGGAGTAGTAGTAGAAGTGGTAGTAAGAGTAAGAGTGATGGTAGTAAAGTCATAGTAGCCGTAGCAGTAGCAGTAATAGCAATGGTATTGCAATTGATGTAGCAACAGGAGTACCAGTCGTGGTGCCAGTCGTACAAAACTAATGGTAGTAGCCGTCGTAGTAGCAGTAGTTGTCCTAGTCGCAGTGGTAGTAGTAGTAGTAATCGTAGTAGTAGAAATGGTAATAGCATTCGGAGTAGTAGTCGCAGTATAAGTAGTTTTAGTAGTGCCGGTGTCGTACTAGCAGTAGCAGTAGTAGTAGTCGTCGGCGTCGTCGTAGTAGTAGTAATCGTCGTCGTCGTCGTAGTAGTAGTAGTAGTAGTACTAGTACTAGTAGTAGTAGTAGTAGTAGTAGTAGTAGTAGTAGTAGTAGAAGTAGTAGTAGTCGTCGTAGTAGTAACAGTGACAGTAGTAGTAGTAGTAGTAGTAGTAGCAGCAGCAGCAGTAGTACTATACTAGTAGTAGTAGTAGTAGTAGTAGTAGTAGTAGTAGTGGTAGGAGTAGTAGTAGTAGTAGTAGTAGTAGTGGTAATGGTCGTAGCCGTAGTAGTAGTAGTAGTTGTCGTAGTCGTAGTACAAGAAGTAGTAGTAGTAGTAAGGGTAGTAGTAGTAGTACTGGTACTAGTACTAGTACTAGTAGTAGTAGTAGCAGTAGTAGTAGTAGTACTAGTAGTAGTAGTAGTAGTAGTAGTAGTAGTAAAAGTGGTAGTAGTAGTAGTAGTAGTAGTAGTAGTAGTAATAGAGGTGGCAGTCGTACTAGTGGTAGCAGTAGTAGTAGTAGTAGTAGTAGTAGTAGTAGTAGTAGCAGTAGTAGTAGTAGTAGTAGTAGTAGTAGTAGTATAAATAGTGATAGGAGTAGTAGTAGCAGTAGTAGTATACTAATAGTAGTAGTAGTATTAAAAGTGGTAGGAGTTGTAATAGTAGTAGTAATAGTAGTAGTAGTAGGGGTAGTGGTAGTAGCCGTAGTAGTAGTAGTTGTAGTAGTCGTAGTACAAGTAGTAGTAGTAGTAGTAGTAAGGGTAGTAGTAGTACTAGTGGTAGTAGTAGTACTAGTGGTAGTAGTAGTAGTAGTAGTAGTAGTAGTAGTAGTTGTAGAAGTGGCAGTGGTACTAGTGGTCGTAGTAGTGGTAGTAGTAGTAGTAGTAGTCGTCGTAGTAGTAATACTAATACTGGTAGTAGCAGCAGTAGTAGTAGTAGTAGTAGAAGAAGAAGTATTAGTAGAAGTAGCAGCAGTAGTGGTAGAAGTAGTAGTGGTAGTAGTATTGCTAGTGGTAGTAGTCGTAGTAGCAGCAGTAGTAGTAGCCGTAGTACAAGTAGTAGTAGTAGTAGTAGTAGTAGTAGTAGAAGTAGTAGTAGTAGTAGAGTAGTAGTAGTAGTAGTAGTAGTAGTAGTCGTAGTAGTAGTAGTAGTAGTAAGGGTAGTGATCGTAGTAATATTCGTAGTAGCACCAAGAAGTGATAGTAGCAGTCGCCGTTGGAGTAGTGGTAGTGGTGGTAATTATAGTCATAGTCGTAGTAACCGTTGTAGTCGCAATGATAATCATAGAAATATTAGTCGTCTAACGAGTAGTATGAGTAGTAGCAGTAGTGGTAATTATAGTAGTCGTAGTAGTTCGACTAGTCGAACCAGTCTTGCTAGTAGAAATCGTAGTAATAGTAGTTGTAATGATCGTAGCAGTGCCACTAATAAAAATAGTAGCCGTGGTAATAGTAGTCGTAGTAGTAATCGTAGTAGTAGTAGTAGTAGTAGTAGTAGTAGTAGTCGTAGTAAAAGTAGTGGTGGTGAGGTTAGCTAGTAGCGGTAGTGGTAGTAGTAGTACTAGTAGTAGTAGTAGTAGTAGTAGTAGTAGTAGTGGTAGTGGTAGTAGTAGTAGTAGTAGTAGTAGTAGTAGTAGTAGTAGTGGTGGTGGTAGTAGTAGTAGTCGTAGCAGTAGTAATAATAATAGTAGTAGTAGTAGTAGTTGCAGTAGTAGTAGTAGTAGTAGTAGTAAAAGAAGCAATTATAGTCGTAGTAGTAGTAGTAGTAGTAGTAGTCGTAGTAGTAGTAGTATTAATAGGAATAGTAGTAGCCGTAGTGGTAGTGGTAGTAGTGGTAGTAGTAGTAGTAGTAGTAGTAGTAGTAGTAGTCGTAGTAGTAGTAGTAACAGTAGTAGTAGGAGTAGTAGTAGTAGTAGTAGTAGTAGTAGCAATCGTAGTAGTAGTCGTGGTAGTAGAAGTAGAAGTAGAAGTAGAAGTAGAAGTAGAAGTAGTAGTAGTAGTAGTAGTAATAAAATGATATCTGAATTGGCAGCCTGTGTAGAGTGTGCCTAGGTTGCAAGGACGCGCTGCTAGGATGCGAGACTCGTGGACGCCCAAATCGAGGCCGAGATTGGCCATGGCCAAGGGCGAGCATTGGCCGAAGGGCAAGGGATGCGAGGGCACACATGGAAAGGCCTACGCCCACCCAGCGGACGAGACGCCTACAGTTTCCCAAGGCTGGTTGCCAAGCGAAACCTCGGCACATCCACCAAGCATGAGGCGCCCACGAGGCGGTGCCTCTGGGCGAGCACCGTGCGAAACCTCAGATCACCCGCCCAGCGCACGAGGCGCCCACGAGTTGCCACAGGGACGGGCACCGGGGGCGAAACCTCGGCACAACCACCGACCACGAGGCGCCCACGAGGCACCCGCAACCGGGCACCAGCCGGAAACCCAGCACACCTAATCGATTGCCTTAGGCAAGAAAGCAACTGCCTCAGGTAAGGAAGCGAAGTAAGAGCCCCTGAATGCACGCACCGTTCGGAGAATCAGCAGTAGTGCGGGATCGGGAGGGGCTCGCTGTTGCTTTAGTCCTTCCATGGCTGTTCTTGTAGCACTCTGCGTGCACTCAGGCTCTCTTGGGGCGGGTTCGGTCCTTAGATGGCGTTCCTCATAGCCGTAGCTCGACTGTAATCATCCAGTTGGGGTGGGGAGCGTGGCCTCTAATGCCATTTCCTTCTCGATGACCTTGTCGAGCAATTCCTGGACCTGACAACGCCAAATGAGACTGACTCATGTTCACGTCCGCTTGTCAACAGGATCTTCGATTGCTCGTCCTCCGGTTCCTGCTCCTGCTCTGGAAGCTTACATGGACACATCTTGAAGGGGACCGGAGCTGCAACCACACATCAATATCGAATAGATGCCCCGGACACAACAGCTGCATCACCTCCTCCTTCCACCTTCAGCAACACCACTCCCTCCTCCTCCTCCTCCTCCTCCTCCTCCTCCAGATGAGCTGAGTGGCACTTCGAAAGACTGGACATGGCATGAACACAATTCTTCACACTCCACATGTCTCTTGGATGTACAGAGGAAGCGAGAAGACAGATCCTCCACCGTGCCGCTGGGCACCGAGTGGGCGTGTCCTCAGGTCCTGGGCCCAATCCTCCATGCCTCGCTCCTCACTCCTGAGGGGTGGGCGCCGCCCGGATACGCATCCCTCCTGGGGTGCCCCAGGTCCCAAACAAGCCCCGGGACGGACAAAGAGTGCCAGACGAGGCGCCCAAGACGGTCCAAGAGGGCCCCGCATCGCCAAACGATATGTCCAAGACGCCTTCGCGGTCTCCTGAAGGCTCATGAGGCCTGCAAAACGCCCAAAGAGACCGCGAAGAGCACTCCCAAGAAGGCCCCCAGAGGCAACATTCATGGATTTCCCTTTGGTGACTGAAGAAGTTTGGCGTTCTCGCCTCTGCCGCTTCCCCACGCTCCAAGACGGCCGCAGAGGCCCCCAATATCGCCCCAAGACAGCCCAAAAACCTCGAAGGGATTCCCAACATGGCCTTAGAGGGCTCCAAGACGGCTCCAAGAGGGTGCCCAGACGGGGAACCTGAACGCACACCTCGAGCCCTCGCCCCCGAGAAGTTCTCAGGAGGCCCCAACAGGCCTCAAAGACGGCCCCAGCAAGCCCCCAGGTCGCCCCTGGAAGCTCCCAAGAGGCTCTCAAGAGCCCCCCGAAGGGTCTCCCAAAACGCACCAAAACTGCGCACCAGAGATCCCCGAAAACGCTCCGAAGAAACCCTGACAGCATCCCCTCCGACCCCTGCTCCTGACCCTCCTTCGCCTGCTCCTCCTCCTGCTCCTCCTCCTCCTCCTCCTCCTCCTCCTCTGCTCCTCCTCCTCCTCCGCCTCGTCATCCTCGTCCTCCACCTGCTCATTGCCCTTCTCGACCTCCCTCCGCCCCAACTCCCCTCCTCATCCTCTTCCGCATACTCTTCCTAATCCTCCTCCTGCTCAACGGCGTCGTCATCCTCCTCCTCCTCCTTCTCCTCCTCCTCCTCCTCTTCCTCCTTCTGTTCCTCCTGCTCTTCCTCCAATTCCTCACCCTTTCCCTCCTCCTCCTCCTCCTCCTCCTCCTCCTCCTCCTCGGTTCCCTCCTTCGCATCCTCCTCCTCATCATCCTCATCCTCCTGATCATCCTCCTCATCATGCTACGCCCCCTCTTTCGTGTGCCCTTCTTCCGGCCCTCCGCTTGATCTCGACCTCATCCTTCCCATCCTCCTCCTCTTCCTGCCCCTCCTCCTCCCTCCTCCGCGTCCTCCTTCTTTACCTGCTCCTCCGACTCCCATTCTCCCCGTACTCCTACTGCTCATTCCTCCCCCATCCTCCCCCTGCCCCTGCTCCCCCTCCTCATCCTCCTCCGCCCCCTCCTGCTGCTCCACCGCGTCCTCCGCCTCCTCCTCCTCGTCGTCGTCTTCGGGGTCGGCGGCACCTGCCGTAAGGCCTTCACAATCTTCTGGGGCTTGTCGCGGTTCCTCTGGCGTTCTTGGCGTCTTCTCATGTGACTATTTCTGACCGAAGGAGGCTCCAAGACGGACCAAGAGGGCCCCAGGAAGCCCCCAAGAGGAGGCCCCAAGTCGCCGAACGATCGCTCCACGACGCTCAAGATGGCCCCCAGACGCCCCAAGAGGCCTCCACGACGCCCAAAGAGGCCTCCAAGAGGCCTCCCAAGAGGGCCCCAAGAGACCAACATCTGTTATTTTCTTTTGGTTGTGGGAGGATGTTGGCGTTCTCGTCTTTTCGGCTTCCCGACGCTCCCAGACGGACCTAGCGGCCCCCAAGACCGCCCCAAGACGGCCCATGATGTCTCCAAGAGGGCAACAAAACTGCCAAGTGGGCCCCAAGACAGCCCCCAAGAGGCCCCCAAAGGGAACCCTCAAGAGGCAAAAATCGTCACATACCTTTGGGGACCGTGTATGTTTAGCATATCCGCTTCGTCGGTCTTCACAACGTCTAACACGGCCCAGGAAGCCCCCCAAACCGCCCCAAGACGGCCCCAGAGGCCTCCAAGACGGCCCTAGTGGGCGTCAAGACGGCCAAAGAGAACCCCAAGGCGGCCCAAGAAAGGCCCCTGAGGGTCCCACAAGTTCCCCAAGAGAGCCCCAGGAGGGCCACAGGAGGTCCCCAGTGGGAACCCAGGAGGGCTCCCAGGCCCCAAGACGGCCCAAGCCCGCCAAGACGGCCCAAGAGGGACCCGGGCCGGCCCCAGGGTGCCCCAATGCGGCCCAAACGAGCCCCACAAGGACCCCCAGGAAGGCCTCGAGATGCAACACGGATCTATGTTGCTCGCCCGGTTGGCTGCTAGCTCCTCACATGTCGCACTGAGCCGCGCGGCCGACGAGGCCTGCGGGGCGAGGGCGTCTGCGCCGCGTGCCCGCCTGCATGCGCCCCGGGCGGCGCCGCGCGAGACCGCCGACGAGGGCACGTGCGAGACCTAACCATGCCTGGGCTCCGCTCAGGCCCCGCTCCAACGCGGTCTGGTGCACAGTCTGTGTAGGGGGCCACAGGCGAGCCCTACCCCTACCCCTCACGATTTCTGAGGGGGAGGGGGGCCTCACTTCGCTCGGGAGCTCCCGAGCGAAGTGAATCCCCCCTCTCCCCCTCAGAAGTTGTGGGGGGCAGGGGTAAGGTTCGCATGTGGCCCCCGACTGTGGGCTCTCAAGGGCCGCTCAACTAACTATGCTCGGGTCGGGCGAAAGAGTGGGACAGCCAAGGGGGGGGTTGAGAATCAGCTCGCGTAGCTGGTTTTCCTGGCGCCTCCCGGCGCCGGAAGCGCCCATGTATCGAGGACTGGGCCCGGCGGCGGGGCCGAAACCAGCTGCATGCGGCAGATGTCGTACCCCCCGTTTCCTTATCCCCCCCCTGTCGTCCGGGCCGATGCAGGACCGATATGTATGCGCCGTGCCATCCCTGGGTCGAAAAACGCCAACGCCTCGGGAAAGGCCAACGCGGTGCGGTGCATACACGAAGGGGCCCTGGGACACACAAATAAATACACACAAATAACAGGATTCCCAATATTTTCACATATTTTATGTGCTTTTGTCTCCCCCCTTCCCATATTTTCCAACGCTGTCCTACGACATGTCTTTAGAACCCCAAAATGCTAAGTTCTTAGAACATAAGCCCAACGTGCTAAAACAAGACAGACTCCGCCATCTATGTTCTAAGAACAATGTGGAAACCACAAAAGGTTATTAAAGCATTGTTTGGTGGGGCTATAGGCGAGCCAGGACGCTTCGCCACTGCTTGAATGATATCCTGTCCTGTCCTCCGCCGCATACGGATACTATCCGCATGCAAGGGGTCAGCGTCCATGCGCCCGCTAAGGCGCAGTGTAGAGCGCGCGTACTTCCACCGCGTGAGTGCTATGCAGTAAGGACTCGACGGGAGGAGGAGGCAGCGAAGGCGGGGGGGGAGCTGCTTCGGCCCCATCCCCACCACCTTGCGGCGCAGTTGCGCGGGCGGCTCGGGCTGCTGGCGCGGCGACGGCGGCGGCGCAGCATCGTGACCGGGCCGTGGACGGCCGCTTCCAGTTTACGACATCCTTGTGATCGTGCGCTGCAGTCACATTTTTATAAGCCGGCTGCTGCAGTTACACTTCTTCCCCGGCTCCAGGGCACTAAGCCAGCGACCTCGCGCCCTCAGACAATAAAAGCGCTTTCCGTCCCCATGCCAAGCGGGCCTAGTGGCATTCGACCCATCCCGCCACCGTTTCTTGGCTGTGGGTATGAAACTGATTGATGTTGGTTGGGATCTCGTGGGAGGCTTCTTGGGGGCCTCTTTTCTTTCTTTTGGAGTCGGGCATGGGCCGCGGCCCGCCCCGCAGCGCCGATGATCTCAGGGTGGAACAATGCCGATCAGGTGCTGTAGCGCCCACTCTATGGCGAGCACCTCGGCGTGAAAAGCCGACTCCGCTGAAAGTAACAACGAGCCCCGCCGCGCTGAAGCTCGACACTCGCAAGCCTTGACCTCAGGAGAGCCCCGCGCCGCCAGCATCGTCATCCCCGCGGCGCCTGCACAGGTGCTCCGGAGGCCGCCGTCGACGCATAGCCGCAAAGCGTCGCCCCTCCAGAGCGCCGTCTGGATGACCGGCCAATCCGCCCAGCAATCTTCTGTTCCTGCATCAAATGCTGCATTGGCCGCGTGATCCGCCTTACTGTTGTAGCCCCGGGGGGCCCACGCCACCAGGTCGGACGCGTCCGTCGCGGGTAGCCAACCAAGATGGTGCAATCGAAGCAGACTGCGTGCAATTCTGATAAACAGAGGTATGACCGAATCACTGGCCAGCTGCGCTCTTCCTGATGCGAGCTCTGCGATAGCATGGCAGTCGACCTGCGCCCGCAACCGCGTGGGCACAGAGCCCCACGCGCAGTCCAATGGGTGGCCGAGTAGCGGCGGAGGAAACTCCAAGAGCGCCGGGCTCCGTGGACATGGCGCCGGAGAGAGCGGCCCCCCGCGAGCGCGAGCCGCATCTGGCTGTCGCGGTGAATGCCATAAGTCGCACGCTGTGTTGACAGAGTCAGAACATCCACACGTCCAAGCTACCAACGAACCTGTCGCGCCCGGCGTGGCCCTCCATTGGCTGCTCCTCACTTTCACGAAAACAAGCCCCCATGGAGTGGGTTGCTGGCCACTGCGCTCGCGGGTGTATACCTCGCGTTTCCGATTCTCGTTGGCCCCCGCCGCCTAGACAGTCTCGCGCCGCG